AATAATAATAATAATAATAATAATAATAATAATAATAATAATAATAATAATAATAATAATAATAATAATAATAATAATAATAATAATAATAATAATAATAATAATAATAATAATAATAATAATAATAATAATAATAATAATAATAATAATAATAATAATAATAATAATAATAATAATAATAATAATAATAATAATAATAATAATAATAATAATAATAATAATAATAATAATAATAATAATAATAATAATAATAATAATAATAATAATAATAATAATAATAATAATAATAATAATAATAATAATAATAATAATAATAATAATAATAATAATAATAATAATAATAATAATAATAATAATAATAATAATAATAATAATAATAATAATAATAATAATAATAATAATAATAATATTTGTACTAACAATAGAAATAACAATTATAAGAGTTACTAGTTACTACTCATTAGTTATAAGTTATAACTATACTAGTTAAAATATTTTTTGTTAAATCTATTAGTAATAAGTATCCGTAATTTATTAATAACTAAATTATTTTAGAGTGATAGATTGTAGGATTTTACAATCTAATTTTTAACTACTTAGCTATTAACCGAACAGGAACCGAACCGGATCGGAACCGGAACTCTCGGTTTTAGAACCGGTATTGTGCGGTTCCGGTTATCAAAATTTAGAACCGTGAACTGGCGGTTCAGTTCCCATGCCGGTTCGGTTCTGAACCGGGGACAAGTCTGCGTTGGACACAATGGGGAAGAAACCGAAGAACAGAATTACATATATGTAGAAGGACTAATGTTTTTTTTTACTCCAGGAGGTTCTGGGGGAGGAGGGAGCCTGGAGTAATCAGGGCTGAAACTCACTCCATTGAGTTTCAAGCCCTTATGTGCCTAGTGGGATTCGAACACGAGACCTCCTACAAGGCACGGTAACCTTGCAACCAGTTGGGCTCGAATGTTAGAAGGACTATTGTATTTTATGCATTGGAAATGTAACTTGTCAAAATCATTCGTTAAGTAATGATTTTGAAAAGTTGTTGTAGTGTTGTGATATATGATTGAGCCTCTAATATGACTTCATTTTAGCTTGTTGTTTATAGTTGTTTAAACGAACAGATACTATAATAGATTAGAAAGATTTGTCAAAAACATAGTTGTTTTTTATTTTAATTTTATAACCTATGCTTTTTTTTATACCTTTTTTGGTGTTATTGTTTGTGTCTGTTACTTGTTGTTTTAAAAATTATTAATTATTTCTTCAATTATTATTATTATTATTTTCTTTTTATCTCTTTTTTTTATAAAGGAAAATTTTAATAAAAATAAGCAGAGTACAAACTCTAATGACGATGGGTACTGGCCCAAAGCAAAACGAAGCTAGCTCTAGTGAAAGGAGAAAGCATGAAATGAGCAAATGAAAGAAAAGCCTACACAATAGCACCACCCTTTAAATGAAAATGAGAAGCCCGAAGATAAGAACCTCCAACTAGATGTCCCTCAAGATCATGTTTTTGCAAAAAAAAGAACCCCAAAGAACCCCAACTAGATTATAAGATCATGAAATCTTATAATCTATGAAGCAACTAGAAGCCCAACAATGATCTAGGAACTAATACAGAACTGGATGAACAACCCTACATCTCGATCAACTTTTTTTCCTTAAGGCGAATACTCCTTCTAGGAACCAATACAGAACTGGATGAACCCCACTTTGGATCCCCAATAGAGTAAGCGGGATCTGCCATACGGTCCAACAGTTCACGGTCTATGAAGCTGTTCCGTTCGTCTTAATCTTATTACTTATTCCTTAATCTTATTTTATTCAGATCAGATCAGATCAGATCAGAAAGATTCAGATCAGATCAGATCAGAAAGATTCAGATCAGATCAGATCAGAAACATTCAGATCAGATCAGAAAGATTCAGATCAGATCAGCAACATTCAGATCAGATCAGAAAGATTCAGACCAGATCAGACCAGATCAGAAACATTCAGATCAGATCAGAAACATTCAGATCAGATCAGGTCAAAAAATTCAAACATGATTTATCACTTTTATTATTATATTAATTATGATTATTATATTATAGTTATTGTTAATAATATTAATATATTAATATAATAATATTATTAATAATAATATAAAAATAATGTTAATAATATAAAATTATTATTATATTATAATAATATAATATAATATAATATAATATAATATAATATAATATAATATAATATAATATAATATAATATAATATAATATAATATAATATAATATAATATAATATAATATAATATAATATAATATAATATAATATAATATAATATAATATAATATAATATAATATAATATAATATAATATAATATAATATAATATAATATAATATAATATAATATAATATAATATAATATAATATAATATAATATAATATAATATAATATAATATAATATATTTATAATTATAATTATGATTTACAATGTAATTATAATTATAATCATCATTATTATTAATATGATTGTTGTTCTTGTTGTTATTGTTTTAATTATTATTACTTCGGAGTAATTATATATTTAAATTAGTAATTATAGACATAATTATGACTATAGAAATAAATATTATAATTATAATTACAATAATAATAATTATAAAATTAATCATAATTAAAAATATAATTACATTTATAATTGTATCTGTATTTATAATTAGTGTAATTGGTATAATTATTATAATTTTAAATTTAATTTTAATTATTATTTTTTTATAATTATGATTATAATTGTAATTTTATTTAAGTTATATTTTTAATTACAATTATAAATCTAATAATTATAATTGTAATTACAATTACAATTATAGAAATATTCAAATCAGATCAGAAAGATTCAGATCAGAAGAATTCAGATCAGATCAGAAACATTCAGATCAGATCAGATCAGATCAGCAACATTCAGATCAGTTCAGCAACATTCAGATCAGATCAGAAAGATTCAGATCAGATCAGAAAGATTCAGATCAGATCAGATCAGATCAGAAAGATTCAGATCAGATCAGATCAGATCAGAAAAATTCAGATCAGATCAGATCAGAACTTAAAAAATTCAGATCAGAAACATTCAGATCAGGTGAACGGAACAGCTTCTATAAGAAGCCTTCGTACATGCGTTGTTTCTAATCCCTGTCCCAACACACCCGAGCTTTAAGGAAAGGATACCTGAAGAGGTGTTGTTTCTTGAATATCCTCCATCTGAACATCTCTCTCCCCATATACTGATATACCATTATACCAAATTTGGATCCCCTTTAGAAATCTTCTCTATAACTTCTTCGGTGATATCTTCTTTCTCTTCTGTTTCCACCAACACACTCTTCATATTCCCTTTTCCTTGATGAATGTCATCAAGTACGACTTTGTTTGCAACCACTTAAGAAAAGTGATTTTAGCTTTTTTTTTAAGAAAAAAACACTTATTTTACCGAACACTATCAACTTTTACTTTCTCGGCTTCCGTGCAGAATCTAGTTTTTACCTTTTCTATTGGGATAAGGGTCAGTTTGGTCCTCGAAGTTGCAAAAAAGGGGGTCAAAAAGTCCTTATATAGAAAATTCTGTCTGGACGTGCCATTTGAGGTGGCTCCCGGTGGAATTTTTTGATTAAATTTTTTGAGCATCGTATTCATTAAGTCTAGTTTACTCATAGCAAATTTCAAATAAAAATTCAATCGGGAAGACATTCAAATGAATTTTAGAAGATAATTGTGCCATTAAAAGCGCAGTTATCTTCAAGAATTCATTTGAATGTCTCCCTGATTGAATTTTTAGCTGAAATTTGTTATGAGTAAACTAGACTTAATGAATAAGATGCTCAAAAAATTTCATCAAAAAATTCTACCGGGAGCCACCTCAAATGGCACGTCCGGACACAATCTTCTATATAAGGACTTATTTGACTCCTTTTTTGCAACTTCGAGGACCAAACTGATCCTTTACTCCTACAAATATAATAGGAATATTTGTTAAAAGGAAACTAACAACATTGAAAAATGAAAAATGCGAAATTATTTTCAATTTTAGGTTTAGTTGTGAAAAGTTTCCTAATAAACATTAGAGTACGAGTATTTACTCCCTTCATCCCACTTTAATTGTTTTACTTTTCTTTTTGAATTGTTCCAAAATGAATCTCTATGTTTCCTTTAAAAACAAGAAATGTGTGGTTCACATCATATTAGTTTATTATTATACTCAAATCTTAATTACAACTTTTACTCTATGTTTAAAGAATCGGACCGGGAAACGACCCAACCAAATGATTGGGTCACGGGTCAACCCGGGCCCGGCGGGTCAACGCCAAGAAAACCGGTCAATATTGACCAACAATTAAAACATAAATTATATGAAGTATATAATTATATATCAATAAAACTTGTAAAGGCAAAATTATTTCAATCAGAATTTAATTTTGATGATACACGATAAATATAAAAATAAAATTATAGTTCAAAATATATACGGAGTACTTTTTAACAAATTTTTTTATGTATTTGACATTGGATAAATAGTAGCAATTTAGGCTATATAGCATTTAATAAAAAATTATAAATATTATATTGGTAATATTTCACAAGACTAAAATTTGATGTGGTTCATTTACAACAGAAAAATAGAAAAATAACAATTTTATAATATAAATCTTTTATATTTTAACCTAAAAATAAATCTTTATTTTTAACTATTTATTTTCTTCATTTTCAAATTTATAATTTCTATTTAGTGTTTTTTAAAATTAATTTTATTTATTTATAGTAAATTTGCTTCGATATTTTTGCATCTTTTAATTTTTAAAAGTTCAAGGGTATATATGCATTTCTGTACAAACTTCAAGAGTATATTTGTTTCAAAAAAAATAGAACAAGGATATATTTGTTCTCACACACTATACTAGTATTTTTGTACCTTTTCCCTAAATTTGACAATGCTAGTTTGTTCAAGTGTTAAGAAGTCCAGTAATTTTGTAATTGATTTCCATATGGTCCAATCAAAGGCATTAACCAAGTACGCTGTACGCCCCTTTGGTTCATTACCCATAAAATCCTCCTTTGCTATTTCACTGATTTAAGTGTTGGGCGCTGACGATAAAATGTCAACAGGTTTTGCCTTTTGGGATTTGGGGGTTAGATAAGAAAAACTGGAAATATGTGTCTGCATAAAAGGAAGTAAAAATTACATCTAATACATTATGCTAAACAGCAAGGATAAGAGGCTGCTGTTAGGAGGAAAATTAACTGGGGTGTGGACAAATGCCGAGTGACTGGTGGACGCTTTAAAGAAACCATCTCCAGCTACTGCTGAAAGAATGAGGCGCGAGAAAATTCAACCACTGCAACAACCAGTTAATCAATCGGTTACTTCTGAATTCTAATAGTTGCGCTTCTTAGGGCATTCTGATGCTCTATGACCGGCTTCACCACAGTTGAAACATGCGCCTCCAAAGTTCCTGTAACAAGTAAAACCACACCACCACTTCAGATCAGGTTTGGGACAGCAAATATCAATACCTTATTACTACGTAGTTCCTCAGCTATTGGATATAAACTCCCATTAGCCTTCGGCTTTTTAAAAGGACTCGATCTTATTCCGACTTGGTAATTTTGGCCTAATTTATCCCTCATACATATTCGGCTTCAATCATTAAGGGTATTTTAGTGGATTCACTAGATGCAGACCCCATTTGGTGGGCAAAAATACCTTCTATAATTAGAGTAAAATTGTATGTCTGGGATCTAACTTGAGTATAAATCGCAAAGTAAAGGACCAAATTGATTCAAAAATAAAATTAAGGACCAGGTTGAGTAATAGAATACAGCCAAGGGATTGGGACAAAATGTATATTGCTTCTCCAATACTTCGTACAAAATATGAAAATTTGCTGCTATGAAAAAACAAAATACTACTTACCTATCCCTGCTTCCTCCTAAAGATGATGACCGGTTAAATCGTGCCTCACCACTGACAAGCCAATCACTGCTTCCCCCCCTTCTTGTTCGTCCACCCTGGCCCCGCCTAAATGTGTCATCCTCCCAATCATTATTACTAACATCATCTGAGAATCGGCCACTGGACCAGCCCCCTTGGGAAGGCCTACCACCTCGACGGTCCCTAAACCCTCCTCGTGAGCTCCTTCCCCTGCTGTTTGAAAACCTTCCGTAAAAATCGCTTGGGGGGCCATCATCTTGCAAGGTGGGCAGCTGTGTAAATTGCAATATGATATTAAAGATGAGTGAGCAAACATTTCATTCTATCAAAACCATACCGGGCAGGTCAATTAACTGGTATTGTCTGCCAAATCGGTCACGACCCAGTGAACCAGCTATTTGAGTGGTTAAGATTTTTTTCAAGACAATCTTAAGTTTCAGAAGATTAATTGAAATGGACGTTACATGATCTTCAAGTTTATATTAGTCATAGATTTTTTTATATTAGAACATAAATTTCGGGTTTTCAGCAAAACATTTCTTTTAAAGCTTAATACTATCTTCAAACCTACAATGCACAGGAACGTGAAAAGGCGAACGTTTCCCGTATCTGACACATTAATGTTTCCATAACCGAGAAACGCCGAAATCGCGTGTCGGGCCTGCTTCTAAATTTTTGGAACTTCGGAAACACGTTTCCACAAAAAAACAGTTTCCCCAAAAATAAAAACTAAAGAAATTAGGAATTTGTGGAGTATCGGTGGTCTTCATCTTCGGCAGCTGGCCATCTTCAGCACATCTGCACTCTGATTCCGGTGCCAACCTTTCTCCTTCTGCTAAGCTGACTGCGTTCAGTGCCATCTCAAGCTGGCCGACTCTGATTTGTACTAGGTGTCCGGTTTGGTTACTCAATAGCAGAGTTCTCCCGTGAGAGTGTGTGGGATTTGGGTTGTAAATAAACGTACAAGTAGTATGAGTAATGTTGTAGACTTGTAGTAGGTGAACTTAATGCCCAGCTGTTCACTAATTAATTATTTAATTTATTAAACATTTTTATTGATTAAAATATTTACATGTATAGGGAATACCGAAATAGGGGAGTAGTAGAGTACACAGAAAAAGTTGCTGCTTTACATAATATCTAAGGTGTAAGTTGATATATCTGTGTGTAAATGTCTGTATATATTTATCTACTTATTTACTTAAAAAATCTCTATTTTTAATATTTATGTGTTTCCCCCATGTTACATTCCCTGTATTTTTTGTAAATGGTGTTTCCGGCGTTTCCTCTTTCCCTCTTTCCGTTTCCGTGCTACTTAGCTTCAAACCTATCCCCCAAGACATGTTTGAAAAGGGTTTAGTTGCAAAAAACCCCAAACCATAAAAAGATTCATAACTTTTCATATAATTTGCTAAAATAGATACAAAAAGTATAACATGATGGATAAATTTAGCATGGAAACTTAGAGTTTTTGCCATTTCGAGTCCCCCGACTATTGTGTCATTGACACTTTTGGTACTCAACTTTTGATTTTTCCAATTTTAGTCCTCGACTATTGTGCTAGAGACACTTTTGATCCTCCACATTTAGTCCCCCGAGTAATATCAAATTAACACTTTTAGTCCTTCCACTATGATTTTGACACAATAATCGGAAGACTAAAAATGTCATTTTAATAATAGTTGAAGGACCAAAATTGTCACTTTTATGAGAGTCAGGGGACTAAATATCGAAATTTTCAAAGACGAGTACCAAAAGTGTCTCTAGCGTAATAGTGAAGCACTAAAAGTGGAAACAATCAAAGTCGAGTACCAAAAGTGTCAATGACATAATAGTCGGAGGACTAAAAGTGGCAAAAACTCGAAACTTAAATTTTATAGATTTAAGTAGGGTTTGATGAAAAGCACTGAAACTACATTTTTAAATGAAATTTTGTTCTACTACAACTGCTTATAGTACACATATATTACAAAATATTTATTTATTTCTGACTGGCTGGACACAAGTCAAAATAAATGAAACCCTAGGCCCCAAGTAGTGCCTCAACTAGTTCAATAACCAGTCAGGTTCTAACAATATGTTTATGAAATATCACAACAGACTATATGGCAGTTTTTGGGCTAAATAAAACAATACTCCGTAACTAATACAGAATAGACCATGCAATGAACAGAGCATAAGGTATTAATATGATAATATGTGGCGAGCACAAAAAATATCAAACCTTTGTAATCCTGGATATAGTGTTTCCAGGAGGCAACTGCTGATTTAGAAGATCTGTTGCAACTTCCTCTGGGAGATCAAATACTGCACCATTAACCTGATCTCAGAAAAGGTATATTTTAGCAGGAAGCACAAGGTAAATAGTTATTTTGGAGTGTTGAGCACATATAAAGAAAGTTCCATATTATATAGATATAAAAAGAGTCAAAGACTAATATGCCCTTGTTTAAGGAAAGCATGTGTATTTGTGTGCATGTTTCATAAAACAGTTTTCTGGAGTACAAGAATATGAGAGCTTGCATCATAGAAAATGGATATTGAAGGGTACAATTGAAAAACAGTTGAAAATAGTTATCTTGAAAGTATAACAAAACTAATTACGAACGGCTTAATTTTCAGCTTCAATTATTTACGATGTAGATTAGGAACAATTTTTTTAGGGGTGACCAACAGAAATGCACACCTGATCATCTGCAATAATTTGTATTTTCCCAACTTCATCTGCAGCTTTTGAAAAAACATCAGACAGAAACCCAGTTACAGATCTAGCAGACATGGATCCTCGCAAGAAACCAGTGTCAGGTGACTCGCGTGTAAGCTGCAATGTAACCCATCCCTGTAAAACAAATACAAATTCACAATATTTATCTACAGAAGCAGAGGTTAGGTAATAACTATAGCATGCATACATTTTCTTCATGTGTATTGATGATCCAATTACCAGAGACATACAGATCAAGTGATGAAATAAACTGTTTAGGACGGTCAGAACTTATCACTTCATCATATGCAACCTATTGCTTGGTGGTTAGGGCGTTTTCACATCTGGAAACATTTCAGAATCTGGAACTTGTGGTGATTGTGGCGTAGCCTAGACCTCTATTTTTTTTAAATTGGGTCGGGCCGGAAATAATCAATTCATATGATTTCTTAAATAAAAATTGACACATGATCTTTTTACCGAACATGGGGTGGGCCCATAAAAGGGTTGGCCCTCCCCAAGCCAAAGCTACACCGCCCCTGCTGTGGAAAATCTCTCAGGCCATTTCTATTTGTAATTAAGTGTTCAATAAATTTTCAATAAATATATTATCGTTCCAAGATAATGGGTTCTTTTTGGAGATATGTTTTTGTAAACCTCTAGATGGGAACAAATTTCTGGAACAATTTCCATTAATTGACATATTTAATAATTGCAATTTTGACAATTATATTTTTTATGCTCCCTTTATCCCACAATGATTTGCCAAGTTGACCAGCACAAATTTTAATTTAGAAGGGAGAGAAAACCATGAATCACAAATTTTTTCCCTGTAGAAAATTGAAAAGCTTTCAGCGTAATCAAAAGGAAAGTTCGCAATGATTTATTAGTACCAATGTATAAATTGCTAGCTTGCTACATTATCTTAATTATGGAGTTCATTTTTAATTAATATTTTATAAAAATGAAGAAAATTATTTGCACAAATACCCTTGTATTTTGTATATTCGCTCGTACCCGTTATTTTCGTTCTTATATTTATATTTTTATTTTATACAACAACAATAAATACCCTTATATTTTATTTTATATTAAAAAATTATAATGTTTCGATGTGTCACATTGGCTGTTTATTGTTTCCCCCATTTTCTATTTCAATGTAAAAGTGTAACACAACTAGCACAAGTCCATTGTATGAAATAGTTCATGCTAAAAACAAGCACAGTTCCGGCAACTTCAATATAATGCACACCTGTTCGTGGGTGATTAGAGAACGAGAAGAAGGTGGTTTAGCAAAACCACCCAACAAAGCAAGTGCAGCAGCTAGAGCAGTGACACCTTTTTCCTTCATCAGCTTGTTAGCTGTTGGGATGAAGTGTTCAATAGACTCGGAATGGACTCCTCCAAGGCTAGCAACCACTTGCTCAGCCGATGAACCCAAAACCTCGTTAACAGATGGAGGGCTAATGAACTCAAATGTGCACCCCACATCATGCTCGAGAGATTTGACAGTCCGTCTTTGATTACTAGTAAACATTAGAATGGCATTTCCAACCTTTCCTGCTCGACCTGTTCGACCAGAGCGGTGCACAAACGTCTCCGGGTCATTGGGTAGTTCATAATGGATTACCTGGACAACACAAAACATAATGTTAATATTCTTTGAGTAAGCAGGAGTTAAGTACCAATAGTGGTTCTGAATGACTACTGTTTTTACAACCCCTCTCTTTCAGTAACAAAGTCAAGAGATGCCATGATGATGGGGTATTACTCCATCCAGGCCAATATGCCCCCTTGGACAATATTGAGCAGATTAAGCAGTTATTAAATGGAGAAATAATTTGCAGTACTATCCTGATATGAAACAGAATCGGGGCTTGGATTTTTATTTTTCTGTTGTCAACATATCCCTTGATTATTATTGGAAATTACCTTCGCACAAGAACGTGATTAAGAGACAAAATAGCACATTTCAGTTTTATAAAATAACACATGTTGTGAAACAAAATCATTTTCTCCGTAACAAAGCTTATTGAGAGAGAGGGGGGGGGGGTACTAATGGTTCATTTACATGTCTAACTTATGAATCTTCAATAACACTCTTTGAGTTACAAAAGTACAGAACTACAGATACCAAGCAATGTGATGTTACCAATGATTCAATCACATGCATTACTTAACAGCATAACTTGGATATTGATTGTTTATGTCTAGTTATAGTTATCTCTAAACCAGCAGATTTGCTTTCAGGGTGGATGAATTGTATTGATGATAAGGTATTGTCACATGCTTTGCAGCTGATCTCACAGTTTGCATTAAAATAAGATGGACACTTAGGGGGTGTTTGGATCTGATTCTCAAAACTGATTCTGCTCTTTCAGGGAGCAGAAGCAGAAGCAGAAGCTGGAGTGTTTGGGTGAAATTCCAGAAGCACTTTTGGAGCTCTAATTTACTCTCAAAATCAGTTTTTTTAGAAGTTGGGGGGTACCAGCTTCTGAAAACTGATTCTGATTCTGCTTCTGCTTTTAAAAAAGAAGCATAAGCAGAATCGGTTCCAAACACCCCCTTAGCCTTCTTTGGTTGGAAAAATTGGATGGAGGGAAGGGGGAAGTGAAACCTGTTTTATTAACTAATTCTAGACATTTTATCGGGAAAAAGTGAAAGATGAAAAGTTATATAGAAATATATTATTTGACTCAACATACAGTTATTTTCTCTTCAAACTAACACATAGAGATAAATTAGAAAAACATAAATCAATATTTCCCTTCACTCCTAAATCCCCTAACCAAAAGAGCTGCTTGGTAGCATGAACACACCTATCAGGAAAATCAAGAATGGATAAATGGAATTACCAAATCAACATTAGGGATATCAAGCCCACGAGATGCGACATCAGTTGCAACAAGGACTGTGAATTTTCCTTGTCTAAATCCATTTAAAGTTCTTTCTCTTTGGTGCTGAGAAATGTCACCATGCAATGCTTCTGAAGGAATTATGTTTGTCAATGTCATGGAAACCTCATCGGCATCTTTTTTTGTTTGTGTAAATACAATTGTCTTCCCGCCTTTAGCATACACCTGAAAGCTTGTTGAAGATAAAAGGGTCAGAGTATAACACATCCCTAATTTACGACAACTACAGGCCCATTTGGAAGTAGGAACATAGAGGAAAGAAAAATGAGGAGTGAGGACAATTTAAATCACTTCAAACTTAATATACCAATTTGAGGTATTTGTTGAAATTTATGTTATTTAAATGTTTCTATGTATACGGACTAAGAAATTAAGTACTTCGTATATGTTACATTTTCCAAGGTTTTAACTTTTAATCAAATTTCAGTATTTAACTTACCTTCAAACTTTCCAAGGTAACTCAGAAAATAAAAAATAAAAATAAAAAAAATCTTTATTGCTCTTTCCTTTACCATTTTCCGAGTATAAAGCATTGCCTAAACTTGCACATCTGGTTTGAGTGCAAGCAAGTTCTTTAAAAACAATCAAATTGTTCAATAAGTCAATACCGTCACAAGATCACTGAGGATCGTCCGTTTTGAGATTGCTGTGGTTGGTATTGCATAAAGTTTGATCCCCTCTGCTAGTTTTTCCTCTTGATCACCGACCTTCAGAGAAAGCAAAATACAAAAAAAAAAAAAAAGATTACACATATCATTGGTGTTCGATTCTATCAAGAGGCAAAATTTTAATAAAATTTTATACAAATGATACATATGCTGAAATTAAGAAATAGCAAGCGAAATATAAAGTATATAGGAATTTTATCAATTCAGGACCTCAAAGATATGTTCACTATCAATAATGCACCTGAAAGATAAAGTGAGTCAATATAGGACTCAAATGATTCAAAACTGTCAATCTAGGACCCAAAATATCATAGATTTTGATTTATTTAATTTTTAATTAATTATATTGTTACTTTTAAAGATTTTTTCTTCACAAAAGTTAATTACTTTAATAGAATTAAATAATACTTAAGTTTTTAAAATACAAATAATTAAATTTCATGAGATTCTAGGTCTTTGATTGATAGTTTGCGATCATTTGGGCTCTATATCGACACATTTTACCTTTCAGGTCCCTTATTGATAGTGAATGTATCTTTCCAAATACAAAAACATAAAACTTTCTACATGTGGCATTTGTCATATTAAAAAGATGCAAGACTTCCCACGGACACATAGATCATTAACTTCAAACAGCTAAAAAGTGGTTAATAGGTGATTTATACCCTAAACTATACCCTATAGCTTTTTAATGGACTCAGTCTGGGGAAAGAATTTGATCATATTTAGCTGATAATATTCAGCTGTGAACTAAACCAGAAGGACACTTTTATCTGTTCACTAAACTTAGACCCAATTTTGCGCCCAATTGGAACCTCAACCATGTAATTTGGACCCAAATTAGCCCATAAAGTACGAACTACGAAATACTCTTCTTAATAGGGTGTGGACTAAATTGTTTACAAATTGCATAGTCAAAGACTACATTGGGTCCAACAGAAAGTTGATGACCAGTTTGAGTAAACTGTACAGTAGAGGGACAAAATCAGGAATCAAACCATTAATGATAATAAACACACTTCGAGAAGGGAGAGATTTAGAGAATTACCAGGTCAATAGTAAGTGGATTGTTCAAATGTTTACGGGAGAGTTTCTTTACCCACGCAGGCATTGTTGCAGAAAACAGCATGCTCTGCCGCTGTGAAGGAAGCTTTTCCAATATTCTTTCAACATCCTCCTCAAACCCAACTGCAAGCATCTGATCAGCTTCATCAAGCACCAGATATTGAACTTCCCCAAGCTTCAAGCTATTATTGTTGATCAAGTCAATAAGTCTGCCGGGTGTTCCAACAACAACATCAACCCCACGGGAAAGTGCACTTTCTTGAGCAACGTATGAAACTCCTCCGTATATACAGACTGTGTTCAAATATGGAGCAGATTCTTTGATCTCTGTCTCCACTTGCTTAGCCAACTCTCTCGTGGGTGCAAGGACCAAAACTCTAGGCAGTCTTCCTCTCCTTCATGAAAATAAAGACCAATTATTAAACTAATCAAATAATTGAAGTAAGAGTCCTATCGGCAAGAGTTGTTTGTCTGAGATGCTTGAATTTTCTGTAAGGGAATAAGTTTTGTAACATCCATTTCAGCCAAAAAAAAGAAAGTTAAAAGCTACTTATTCTTGTTATTCTATCAAATAAACAGAACCAGCCTACCAAAGGGGCTCTAGATACCTTTGAGAAAATGCCGACTGATCATCTTCTGTAATCCTTTTGATTATCGGGATGCCAAAGGCAAGAGTCTTCCCCGTCCCTGTTTTTGCTCTAGCGATTATATCCCGACCTTCCAGTGCAGGCACCAATACAGCTCTCTATACAACCATGAAAAATTTGGACAAATGCATATTTAGTATTCGCATGACCTAGTGAGTTTCATGAAGGCTTGAGAAATGGAATATACTATTTAAGTAATTCTAACTGCCAAGCAATACAGTCTACAGAAGTTGTTATGTCATATCCCATTAATCCCAACTATTTGAATATATATGGAGCCACTTTTTAACTACAAATACAGTCAAGCTTTATTTGCTGGATTGATGCCAATTGCTAAGAATTTAAATGACTGAATTTGTTATGGGCAGTCTGGGTCCTTTTCATTTTTTATTATACATTCAAATAGATGGGGTGCGAAATAGCAATATCTATATTATGTACTCTTTATTAGTCGAGAGATGATCATTGGTGCATTTCATGTTACTTCCCCAAACGAAAGACATGATAATAATAATCCATTTAGAGGAGTGGACTTTTAAGACCCTGTGATAAATTTCTACATTCACCAAGCGAATATAACCCAGGTTCCAGAACAGCCTTTTCGAGATTATTAAAGATAAAAAGATAGTATTTACAACTTGTTAGGAGCTTCAACGAAGGATTGAAATATCGCATACATGGATATGTATATCGCAAACTACCTGAATGGGGAAAAGACTGGTAATTCCTCGCTTCTCGAGCGTGTCAACCAGCCGTTGAGGCAAACCCAGACTCGATATTGCGAGTTCATCGTTATTTTCATCCTCGCTGAGTCCGCTCCCACCCTCTTCAAGCTCCGAGTCATACTCACTCTCGCTGAGACTCAAGGAGTCCTTAGTGAAGTCCCCAAAGCCCTTGAAGGCCTCCTCACTGAGCAGAGACGAGTTGGGCGTGGCTATGGCCGAAGAGACGAGCGCATTCGAGCTCGAGCACTGCTTTAAGCGAACAAGAGAAGAGAAAGAAGCTTTTAGCGGATTGAAATGAAGCTTGTCGGCGGAGAAAGGAAAAGAAAGAGGTGGAGTGGAAGCGGGCCTCTTGGGCGTTTCTAGTGATGGGTTGGGTTGGTATATGGAGGAAACTCCGATAATGGAGGAAGAGTACGCCATGGAGTCAGGGGTGGAGGGTGAGGAAGAGGGGATAAGAGTGCGGTTAAGAAGAGTGAGTGTATTTTGGATGTATGGTCTCGGAGAGTTCCACCGAGGGGGAGCATTCGGATATCTCGGGCTTTCAAATTACGAGTTTAACCGCCCGACCCGAAATATAGAGACATTTCGCCGTGCGGGTTCACCTCCAATGGAGTTGTGACTTGCTTTGAATTAAAAATTAAGAGTGAAATCAAAATCAAAAATTTATTCCAATATAATCATAACATTATTGTTAGTCTTTTATTTTCTAGTACTACAAAATTAATTTTTGGTGTTATATTTGTAATACATTTTTTTGCTTGAGATGTTATGTTGTTATATTTGGTAATTAATTTAGTTTAAAAAGTGCATTTATACGCATCTCTTACCATAATATAAATATTTTGATCTAACATTCTTTTTATGATAGGCGGGATAGCTGGACAATTGGTTTGAAAATTCAAATGAGGCCTCTAGTAGCAACGACATGCCATGTTGATTGATTTGACCTTCGAGATGTCTATATGAAATTGTCGAGATAATTAATAGATCGATGGGTTATATGGTAGATTTGTTTATAAATAAAAATGGGGCTACGAGCCGGCTAGTATCCCTTGTATAATTACATATGATTTGAAATGGGTAATTATGGGTCATTTTCTAAATTATGATATCACCCATGTTGAATATTGTGTGTTCTGAAACATTGTTCACCACTTTCTAGAGTGAGAAAATCATAGTGAGAGAGCCTCTTTTAGAAAGAAGAAAGATAGTTTGGGAAGACATATCCTCAAGTCTGAGTGAACCACCATTGAGCGAGACAATTTTATAACATCTTTGTAAATCCTATTATTCTTTTGTATAGTGGAAGAATCTTCATATTGGATACTTTAAATCGTGTGCTCTCATTGCTACCTTATTTCCTAAGTGTCTATCTTAACTTCACGAAGCGAGAAAGTCCGGAGTTTTTTCTCAACAAGAACAAACAAATATTCTTTTCACTTGTACTTGTATATATCATATATTTGTGATCTTCTTACGAACAAAATAAAAAAAATAGTTTTATTAAATGTCAAAGGCATATATTTTTAACAACAAAAAACACCTCCTTGCATCCAGCCTAAAGTGACCAAGAACAAAACAAAAAACACTAATATTGTCTCAGAACAAAAATGAAAATGAAATAAATAAAAGTGCCAAAGTGCACAACAAACATGCATCTTTCGAGGCATCAATTCAATAGAGATACCCAATACGTTTTCAACTTCCCTGTGAAACTGTGAGCAATTTTTCAAAGAAGTTTTGATTGTCATAGATGGACTTTGTCGGGACATACCAGTCCCAAAAGATCTCGACTTCAAACAAATTCTCTCATAAAAAATTGCCAATGATGATAGATGTATGCCACATTTCAAGGTAAATGCGTAAATTGATTAAACATGTTAGATTATTATAAGTGATAATATTAATATAACCATGTTTATTGAATTATTATATATTAGGATTGCATTAGAGTTGTGACGGTACACACATTGTAATAAGTGTACATGTGGAGGATCAAATGCGCTATCGAGAAAGAAAGGGAATACGGACCACAAATTTATGGTAGTTTGTGACTTTGATTTTCTTTTTACATACGGATTATGTTCTAACAGAATGGGAGCCATGATTTTCCTGGATCATCGAACGATACCTAATTCTAAAATTTATTTTTTCTTACATACCATATATGATTTACAATTTTAATTCTAATTGTACTTTTTGCTTTTATTTCCTTAGGAAAGTATTACTTGGTTGACAAAGGCTATTTAGAAAGATATGGATACTTATTTTCAAAAAAAAAAAGGTATGGATACTTGACTCTGTACCCTAAGACATGATACCATTAATCAGAGTTTCGTGGATCAAGATCAAGAGGACCCCAAGAAATATTTTAACTGAGCACATTCATCTTTTAGAAATTGTATCGAGAGAGCGTTTGATGTTCTCAAGGCTCGCCGGAAGATATTCAAAAAATGCCAAATTATATATTCATTTGTTGAACAAAATAGAATTATATGTTCAGTTTTGCATTACACTATTACATAAGAAAAATAAAACTTGATCTAGATTTTTATTTCATTGATAAGATCCTGAATTTATACCCCCTAGTATTATTCTAGATGCCCAAGCTAATACTAGATGAGTGAATGAGAAATCATCATATGACGGCCATTCGGAGTAGCATTGCTTCCGGTTTGATGTTACATGAATTTTGTTCTTAAAACATTAAGAATATTGCAACTCACGTCATTACTTTTTAATATTGGTATAGTTATTTGATGCATTTTGTGCTCATATTTTTTTTAGTTAATTTTAAAATATTTTACTCACATGCATTATGTAGGTATGAATTAGTATGGTTATTACTTCATATATATTAAGCAAAATAAGAACACATGCACTTTTTTTTTTGTCTTTTTACCTACTATCCACTACAAGCTAAATATGGATTGTGGAGCTTTGAATGTGGACGCATCACCACTTATACAGACTATTAAGAAGATGTGAGGCTTACTTGGCTAAATAGATGATTATATGTTCAGTTTTGCATTACACTATTACATAAGAAAAATAAAACTTGATCTAGATTTTTATTTCATTGATAAGATCCTGAATTTATACCCCCTAGTATTATTCTAGATGCCCGAGCTAATACTAGATGAGTGAATGAGAAATCATCATATGACGGCCATTCGGAGTAGCATTGCTTCCGGTTTGATGTTACATGAATTTTGTTCTTAAAACATTAAGAATATTGCAACTCACGTCATTACTTTTTAATATTGGTATAGTTATTTGATGCATTTTGTGCTCATATTTTTTTTAGTTAATTTTAAAATATTTTACTCACATGCATTATGTAGGTATGAATTAGTATGGTTATTACTTCATATATATTAAGCAAAATAAGAACACATGCACTTTTTTTTTGTCTTTTTACCTACTATCCACTACAAGCTAAATATGGATTGTGGAGCTTTGAATGTGGACGCATCACCACTTATACAGACTATTAAGAAGATGTGAGGCTTACTTGGCTAAATAGATGATTAAACTAAATTTCGTTCTCCAATGCACTTGTGAGTTTTTATAATAAACTTCTCTAATTTGGCTGTCGGAAAACCAAAAATACCTTGCTTTCATTCGGATTCCGATTTTCGATCCTAGCACAAAGAGTCAAAGATATGATGAAAGCGTAACTTCAACAAGATCAATAACTGGTCACCACAACAAGCTTAAAAAATCTTATGGACCCCTCTTCTCTCCCTATTCTTCTTCTTGATATCACCACTATGTTATTGTCAACTTTCATGGCAGCACCGCCGTCGCCTACCGTTAATTCCGCCGCAACTTGTCTTTATTCCTGCTAACAAGGACCAGGTTGGAGCCTCCAATTTATGCACCAAAGAGGCCGGCGACAGCCTTCAGCTCGGAGTACGGCGTGACGACCATGACTATGATTTATGAAGATTTGCCATATACTTGCCTCATGCACGATCTCTCTAAACTACCACGACCATGACTGTGATTTATGAAGATTTGCCATATACTTGCCTCGTGCACGATCTCTCTAAACTACAACGACCATGACTATGATTTGTGAAGATTTGCCATATACGTGCCTCGTGCACGATCTCTCTAAACTATCGTGTGTGTATACGTCAATACGAAGGATTATGACTTGGGTTGAAGCCAGTGACAATGAGGAAGTAGACCGTAAAATCTCGCAGGAGAGGAGATGGGTTTTCCGGCTGCAAGATTTTAAGATTACTTGTATTGCTTCCAAATAAAACACTCCATAGAATTGAAATAAAATTGGATTGAGATAATAAGTTGCGGGGTGACGATGTGCGATGCGCTTTTTAGAATCAGAAGTTCAAACTCACAATGTGCGTATTTTAATGTGCCAACTCAACCCCACTTTTAATATGGACATCCGCGTTGGGGAGAGTATTTTTACTTCTGCCTCAATTTTATTGACGTGGTACTGCATTCTCTAGAGTCCACATCACCGTTGATGATGCTCTGAGAACATCTCTAATTATTGGGTGCATTGGTGCTAATGTGGCTAATATGTGAAGAAGGTCTAGACCCCATGTGAGCAAGAAGGACAGGGTGCATTTAAAAGAAGCTCCAGTGCCAAAGTGGGAAAGCAAGTAAAAAATGAAGAGATGGTGAAAGAGAAAAAGAAAGTTTTGTATTTGCTTGGATGATATGTCAGAAGGTGGCATTGAGGGTCTCATTGTAGAACCTTTCATGGACCTTGTGCTTTGCCAAGTCTGACTTAGGGAGTCCATTTAAATCACCATTGGAGAATACATATTGGCATAAAATGTGCATTTGCTTAGTTAGCATCCCGATTCATCCATGCATTGGAGATGCCTCAAGAGCAACAACAATGCATTGCTTTATAGTCCAAATAAATTATGTCAAATGTCAACTAATTAAAGAGGCTTTCAATCCACATAATAAGTAGTGGAGTGACTAGACATTAACATATGAAATAAACCTCCTATGCATAAAGTCTCTAGGCCCACATTAGATGATCATGTGAAATTAATTTATTAATAAACGATTTGTCTCTACCAGCTTCCATATAAAGTTATGTTCCATCTTAGATCTGTTCTTCCACCGACTATTTAATTTCTTCCTGTGATCAAGAAGACATAATTAAGTTTTCATAAGATGCAAATTCTAAACAAATTCTAATAAAAACAATAAAAAGGAGAACATAAACGGGAACTTTGCAAATACTTTTTAAAAAGATTTAAATTTAGAATAATTAAACAGAATTTAAACATAAATAAGTATTCATCTATCGGGTGGATAAAGAGAAAACATTAGACATACCTGAATTTGAAGAAGAAAGTATGTAAATGAGTGTTATTGAAGATCTATAAAATCAGCGCTAGAAGAGAGATGAAGGTAATCCTTGTTTTCATTTCCCTCCCAGTAGTTTTTCATCAACCACCCTTTTTAATTATACATAGTATAATCGCCTAGTCAGCAGGTTCTCGACCCTTTTTATAGTCAGAAGCTCTTCTTCACGGTGTGCA